GTTCAGACAACTTTTCAGTATTTCCAAGGTTGGAGACTCCATAACTTCTTTGGGAAAGCTATGATGAGGCTCAGACATACTCACCTGAAATGTTTCATGATATTCAGCAGGAACCCCCTTTGTTTCAGTTTGTGTCTATTGCCTCTTGTCACAGGGCGCCACTGGAACGAGTCTGGCTCCATCATTTTTGCACCTTCCTTTCAGATATTTAAACATGTTGATGAAAGCCTCCCTGATTCTTCTCTTTTCTAGGCTAAACATTCCCTGCTCTTTCAGGCTTTCCTTGCATGAGAGATGCTTCAGTCCTTTAATCATCACTACGGCCCTTCACTGGCCTCCCTTCAGTAGCTTTATAACTGTCTTGTGTTGGGGAGCCTAGAACTGGACACAACACTCCAGATGTGGCATCACTAGTGCTGAGTTAATTTCTGCTTTGTTTGCATCATTTAGCTAAAAAGAAATAGGACAGAAAATATCTGGTTCAAGACAGATAAAAGAATACCTAGTGAGTACAGCTTATTATTAATTATTCACATAAGTGTAAAAATTTTTAAAATAAAAGGTGAAGGAAAGAGTTCCTCTAGGGTTAATTCAATAAAACCTTACAAACCTTTCCATGTCAGGGTGCCGTAGTCAGGGGTTGGTGCCATAGTCAGGGGTCGGTGCCATCGTCAGGGGTGTGGTGCCATAGTCAGGGGTCTGGTACCATAGTCAGGGGTTTGGTGCCACAGTCAGGGGTTTGGGTGTCTTGAACATGGGACTCAAGTCAGTTGCCCAGGTCTAGTGGGGGCTGGTGGAGCTGGTCTGACAAAGAAGGGGAAGAGCGGTTTTGGCTTGCCAGACTGATCAAGGATGCTTTAAACTACATGTACTGGGATATCATTCCATCCCAACACACCCAGGGGGTTGCCAGCACCTATAATAAATGCTTGGAGCAATGTAGAGATATTCCAGCCAATCCAGCCAATGAGCCAGCTTCAGTTGGAGCTTGGCTCAGATGCCTCTATACAAACACCTGTAGCATGGGGAACAAGCAAGAGGAATTAGAAATGTGTGCACATCTACGGGAGTATGATATAACAGGCATCACAGAAACATGGTGGGATGGCTCCTATGACTGGAGTGTTGGAATGGAAGGTTACAGGCTCTTTAGAAAAGACAGGCCTGGCAGGCGGGGAGGGGGAGTTGCCCTTTATGTTAGGGATAGGCTGGAGAGTATGGAACTCTGTCTGGGGACAGGTGAGCAGTCCACAGAGAGTTTGTGGGTCAGGACTAAAGGGAGAACAGCGATAGGAGACATTACTGTGGGGATCTGTTACAGACAGCCTGATCAAGAGGAATCTGTGGATGGAGCACTCTACAGACAGATAGGAACAGCCTCACACTTGCAGACCCTTGTCCTCATGGGGGACTTCAACCGCCCTGATGTCTGTTGGAGGGATGGTATCGCCCTGCACAAGCAATCCAGCAGGTTCCTTGATTGTGTGGAAGACAACTTCCTTCTGCAAGTAATAGAGGAGCCAACAAGAAGAGGTGCCATGCTTGACCTCATGGGGAATTAAAGACCAGTTAGTCTCACCTCTGTGCCTGGCAAAACCTTGGAGCAGATTCTCCTGAATGGCAAGATAAGGCACATGAAAATCAGCAAGGTGCTTTGTGACAGCCAGCATGGCTTCACTAAGGGGAAATCCTGCCTGAGCAATTTGGTGGCCTTCTACGATGGGGCTACAGAACTGATGGACAGGGGTAGAGCAGTTGATGTCATCTACCTGGACTTGTATAAAGCGTTCGAAGCTGTCCCTCATGACATAGAATCATAGATTAGTTAGGGTTGGAAAGGACCTTAAGGTCATCTAGTTCCAACCCCCCTGCCATGGGCAGGGACTCCTGACACTAAACCATATCACCCAAGGCCTTGTCCAGCCTGGTCTTGAACACTGCCAGGGATGAAGCATTCACAACCTCCCTGGGCAACCTATTCCAGTGACATCCTTGTCTCTAAATTGGAGAGATGTCAATTTGGTAGGTGGACCACTCCACGGACAAAGAACTGGCTGGAGGGCCGCACGCAAAAAAGTTGTGTTCAATGGCTTAACGTCCAGCTGGAGACCAGTAACAGGTGGTGTTCCTCAGGGATCGGTGTTGGGACCAGTCTTGTTCAACATCTTTGTTGGTGACATGGACAGTGGGATTGAGTGCGTCCTCAGAAAGTTTGCCGATGACACCAAGCTGCGCGGTTCGGTTGATACGCTGGAGGGAAGGAATGCCATCCAGAGGGACCTCGACATGCTTGTAAGGTGGGCTGATGCCAGCCTTGTGAAGTTTAACCATGCCAAGTGCAACGTCCTACACCTGGGTCGGAGCAATCCCAGGCACAGCTACAGGTTGGGCAGAGAAGAGATTCAGAGCAGCCCTGTGGAGAAAGACTTGGGGGTGCTGGTTGATGAGAAAATGAACATGAGCCGGCAGTGTGCGCTTGCAGCCCAAAAAGGCAACTGTATCCTGGGCTGCATCAAAAGGAGCGTGACCAGCAGGTCAAAGGTGGTGATCCTGCCCCTCTACTCTGCTCTTGTGAGACCTCCCCTGGAGTACTGTGCAGTTCTGGTGTCCTCAACATCAAAAGAACACAAAACTGTTGGAACAAGTCCAGAGGAGGGCCACGAGGATGATCAGGGGGCTGAAGCACCTCCCGTATGAAGTTAGGCTGAGAAAGTTGGGGCTGTTCAGCCTGGAGAAGAGAAGGCTGTGTGGGGACCTCCTAGCAGCCTTCCAGTATCTGAAGGGGGCCTATAGGGATGCTGGGGAGGGACTCTTCACTAGGGACTGTAGCGATAGGACAAGGAGTAACGGGTTAAAACTTAAACAGGGGAAGTTTAGATTGCATAGAAGGAGGAAATTCTTTCCTGTTAGGGTGGTGAGGCACTGGAATGGGTTGCCCAGGGAAATTGTGAATACTCCATCCCTGGTGGTGTTCAAGGCCGGGTTGGGCAGAGCCTTGAGTGGCATGGTTTAGTGTGAGGTATCCCTGCCCATGGCAGGGGGGTTGGAACTTGATGATCTTAAGGTCCTTTCCAGCCCTAACTATTCTATTATTCTACGATTCTGTGATTCTATGATTCTATGGAAAAGAAATGTTGATTTTCTCATCTGTGTGATTTTAATTAAAAAAATTACTGCGTTGAACCACTTTTTACAATAATTGATTTACTTCATAGTTGTCCACAGGTGTGTGATTTTAAAGTATAGAAAGGGAAAGTAGAAGGATTTCACTTCAGAAACACAATAATGATATGGATGTGTGGATAAATATGTTTAATTGCAGTGTATGTCATTAAAAATCATAATTTGCAGGAGTTACTCTTGGTGTCATAATATTGCCATTTATTCAGGCTAGAAAATAACCTATATGTTAGTTGATTTGGTGAATTGTTTGTTAAGTATACAGTATTTTTAATGGTGACAGCATTTTACGGTTCTTTATCAGTGACAGTCATTTAGATATTTGCGCACAGCTTTTTCCCTTTCTGCAGTGCTGAAGAGGGTCACTGATTCCTCAGTAAAGTAACTGAATACTTTACTAATTAGTGAAAAATAAGCTGCTAAATTCCTTGCCAAGGTCAGATGATGTTACTGATTGGTTTAGTGTTTCAAGTGGTTTTACAGCCAAACTGTTGGACCCTTATCTGCTACTTCAGTTTTTAGACTTCAGGCAGACTTTGCATAGTGTCATGGATGCCAATGGGGAAACCCATCAAACTGTCACAAGTACTGGAAAGCAACAAAAAACCCCTTACTGCCTTACTGTGAATAAGTTGACACTGGGGATGGGAGTGTGTGTTGGGGATTTTGTTGGTGGGTTCATTTGTGTGTGGGTTTTTGTTTGTTTGTTTGGGGTTTGGGTTTTGTTTGTTTTTTGTTGTTGGGTTTTTGTTTGTTTGTTTGTTTTTCTGCCTAGTACAAACTACCTCACAGGAGGAGTCAGGAAACTACTCTGTATGAAGACTAGGAAAAATGCATACCAACATGTTGGCTCTTTAGAAATTTGTATTTGGGTTTCAATAATTGTATTCTGCATGTCAGTGTTAAAAAATGTAAGGCATGCTCCACACAACTTTGTTTCAGCTTTCCTGGTTTAGCTATTGTGGTGTTTAGGTTGATTCACATAGAGATTCTGTAGCTACTCTAGAGGGTAGGTATTAAGTCTCTCTTTTCTAATGATTTAGTACCTCACTGAAGCAATACCCTAGTGTTCCTGTGTTTTTCCTTTATATCATTTTTCATAGTTGACTGGACTTTACAAACAATAAGAAAAAATAACCAAATACAATGCTATGTAGCCTCATCTGCTATAATATTGTTCGGAATGAATTGTTTTTGTAAGATTAACTGGAGGGCAAAAATAATTTTCAAGTTACAAGGAGGCAAAAATCAAGAATCAGCTAAGGCTGAATTTCTTGTTGTGCAAACACCCATACTGGTCACAGAGCCAATGGGAAATAGCCAGTGGCAACAGAAAGTGAGAATATTGTTGGTGAAACAAATTCACAGCAACAGAGTGACTGGAGACCGTGGAAGAAATACATTTCTTGATAAATGGTCATGCTGTGATACATTGGCTATTGCAACCAATTTTTTTCAGTCTGCCTCTGGCCTCGACAGGCCTGACCACACTACTAGATTTTGGAAGATGACTTATGTGTAACAATATTTCAGTGACCTTGAGTGAAGGGTTCTTAGTACACTGAGATCTTTGCTAGTGTTACTATGTCACATCATTCTTTCAGGATGAAATTTGATTATGCTGAGAATGCTGAATATTAAGCATGCACTACAATAGAACTACTCTGGAAAAATTAATATATTCTTTTTAGTTTTTGCATTTCCAGTAGGTATAAGACATCAAGAAATGTTATCCTTTCTACTGCATAAATTCTGTTACTGAAATAAACGCTTATCATAGTTCATTTATTCAGTAATTTTAGCTTGTTTTTTTTTTTCAGTAACTTCTGGTGAAACTGTTGCTGTGGATACACAAACCAGGGTAACCAAGGAAACCACCACCTTCAAACCAGAAATGCCATCTTCTGTGCTTTTGGAGGTTCCAGCCTTGGCGGACTTCAATAAGGCATGGGCAGAACTCACTGACTGGCTTTCTCAACTGGATCGAGATATAAAATCTCAGAGAGTGATAGTAGGTGATCTTGATGATATCAACGACATGATCATCAAACAAAAGGTATGGGTAACACTGATTTTTCAAGTTGAAAACCTCATGGTCTTTATTTTGTATTAAATCATTTCAACAAGGAGCACAGGAGAGATGATAGGATACAATGCATGCAGTTGTTACTGAAGGTACTTTATTCCATAAGCACAATTATTGATTAAATGTTAAGATAATTAATTGAGGGGAAAAAAAAGTATTTCATCATTTCTGTGGTATTTAAGGCAGACCTCTTTATCTTTCTATTGCTTATGCTGATTGTGTTGTTGGAGCATACAAGCCAAAGGTTGAAATATAAATGTCATGAGAAAGAAGGAACTGCATGGTGAGCTCCAGGTTGTCAGGAGGAAAGATACCCCATTTCATGCCTTTTCTTATGTTGCTTCTGTAATAACTTTCTGAGAAGCTTTCTGAGAATCTTACTGCTGGTGGGTTATGAAAAGCTCCTCGGTTCTCTTAAAGAAAAGAACAGCTCATTAATGCAAATGTTTTGTCAGCAAAACTGCATCAGTGTCACTTATCTTTGAAACACAGAAAAATATGGAAATACATGTGCAAAGAAAAGGCTAAACTTTAGCTACTCAGTAGCAATAAAAGTAATTGGTATTGTAAAGCTTGAAAGTAATTTTCCAGATTTAACATAGTTCAGTGTAAAATATTTGGCATGCCTATGAAAAACTTCTCAGTGTTATGTTTCCATTCAGCATAGTGCTAAATTGAGTTTAGGACTCTATTATTCTCTTCTGCTCTTTCCTCCTTCTCATTCTAAAAAAAAATCTGATTTATTGTAAAGATGATATTGACATTCTTTCTCTTTGCTTAAAGTAAGAAAGAGAGGGAGAAACAATGGTCACATTTTCCCTACTATCTATACTAAGCAATTTTATAAGAACATGTATCTTAAAATATGCAGATGCCTCATAGGATTAAATCTGCTTGTTTTCTTGTATTTCCCCCATTTTTAATGGTTTAAAATTTCTATTTTTGAGACATTTGTTTTGCTTTATTTCCTAGATAAGTAAAATAGTTATTTCATCTTGATTCATGAACAAAATATTTATTGTGTAGAATTATATAGTGTTTTATTAAGTAAAATATCTTTAAAATGGCATGGGTGTATTTAAATAATGAGTGATAGTTGCAGTAGCACCTACACAGTACACTAGATTAAAATAGCCGTTATGTCATTTGGAAAGGTTGAGAACCAAAGAAGACTTGCTGGCACATTATCTTTTAATCTTTTCCAAATCATTTTGGTTTTAAAATTTTGTGTTGTCAAACACTTGGTTCAGAATTACATGTTTTTCTTACTTATGCCTTGTTTTAGCACATTATTGTGGTAGGCAAAATCCGTAGCTTGCTTCCTTCTGCAGATCTCTTTTACTTAAATATGACGTCAATTTACTGACTCTTGAGGATTTCAATTAATGTTATACGTTTTAAAATTAACTAGTTTTTATCGGCATTTTATCTTAACTCAAGGGTAAAATACTTTAGGTGGTAAAGCCAGCACTATTGCAGTCTTCCTCTCACTTCTGTTCCTGGCCGGGTAGCCCTGTCTCTTTTTTTGATACCATGCTGTGCTGGTAACAGAACCAGCAGGAAAACTCTTTTTTGCTGTGCTTACCTCTCTAATTGGCTGTGCAACAGAATGTGACATTTAATATAGTCTCTGATGAAATGGAAAAATTAATGTCTAAATATAGACTCCAGTTCTGTTAACTGGCTCTCTCTTCTCTAACCATCATCTTAATGTCACTTAATACATGGAAATGAATGTAACAAAATTTTGATTCTGCTCCTAAATCTGTCACTGTACTATTAGGTGAGATTAGCAGACAGAATTCTCAAAACTGACAAAGAATTTTAGTTTTCCAAAAAAAAAAAACCAGATTGTTTTCTAATGAGTAAAGTGTCTGCAGCATTATGTGAGCTGATGAAATTGGACATACAGGCACTTAGCTATTCTGAAAAGTCAGGACAGATATGATCTAAGTTGGAAATCCAAAAGTAGTGCTTACCTCCCCAGATGTGTATATTCTGTAAAATATCATAGTCATACCTCCTGTGTGGTTGTGATTTAAAAGTCATTGAAAGTAATTGTATTGCATTGTGCTCTATTTGGATTTTGTTGCACATCTACAGGGATCTCAGTAAGCTTTAATAGGAGTTCTGTCTTAGCAGATTGACTTTTTTGTTTTTCAGTTTTTTGATTTTAGGTGAAAATACCATTTTAACATGGCTGACTACTTCCCATATAAAAATTCATCATTGTAGAAATACATGCTAAATGAATCCCTAGTTGCTCACCCAGAATTTAGAATACTGCTAGTCCTGTTGGCATGCTACTAAAGTCTTACTATTTTGGCATTTTGTTTCCATTTCACACTTCTTTTAAAACAGAGAAATACATTTCTAATAAGAAAATGAATTTTCAAAGCAAACATTTTAAAAGCAAAGAAATCTTATATCTTAGCAACGTATGTAACAGAACATTTTCCAAATCTGACTTTAGGTTGTCCTTTTTTTTTTCTTTCACAGCAGCATGTAATGTTGAAATTAATTCTCTGAGGGCATTTTGGCTAAGTTCATTTCCATCTGATTGTGTCACAAGATCACAGCCACTAACTCTGCCATATTTTCCCTCCATAAAAGTTTAATATGTTGCTAGCCTCCACTCAAACTTTGCCTGGTTGTGATTGCAGTCAATTGGTACTCTTGTGTGAATAGCATGTACAAAGATCAATTATAGAACAAACCAAAAAGACAACTATTCAAAAAACACTTGTTTTAGTGGCAGCTTCCCTTTAATGAAGGAAACGATGCAACTTAAATTCTTCTAAGCGGTGCACATACTATGCCGTCAATGAAGCATACCAAAAGAGTAGCATAACGGCTATTCATTTCAAACATCTGTAGTTAATGCTTCTGTCCAAAGAAGTATGCATTTCCCTCAAGCGATGCATTACATATTTTAGTCATCTGTAGTTGTATATAACTTGTTAAATTCTATATAATTAAATGAAAAGACACTAAAATGTGCTTGATAAAGTACTTTAATATTAGCATTAGTGTCATCCATGGTTTTGTTAGAGGAAAATTATTATATTTTACTCATCTGCTTGAAGACTGATGTTTTGCAGGACTTGATCGTCAAAGAAATAAATGCATGGCAAACTGACAAGAGACTCATATATTGCTTCTGTAGATAACCTTCATTTCCAAATAATGTTCTTGGGTAATATTGAGAATATTATAACATGCCAAGGTGTAATTAGGTGAGGGACATGACAATACAGTTTGCATTTGTTGTTTCATTTCACTGTCCTGACTTCAAAACAATCAAGATGTTTTATGTTTGAAGGTCAGGTGGGGAGTCTTCATAAAAGAGAAAATCATGAACAGAGGAACAGAATAATAAATTTGCTATGTTATGAAAAAATAGAAAACTTTCCTTACTTAAGATGCCAATAAGTCCTTTACTGAGAAACTCTGCTCTGTCATCGTTGTGTTTAGAGGAAGGTTTGCAGTGGGAATAGATTTCTACTAAAAGCAGTGAACTACGGAGTTTGTACAAAGCTTGAAGATAATTAACAATGCCATTTAAAGAGATCAAATACTGTAATCTCCTTAAATTTTGAATTCTGTCCTTGTATTTTACCAAGGCATGCTGTACATCCAAACTTTGTGTAACATATGTTATTGAAAACATAGCTTTCACTTGTACTGGGTGAACATAGATTATAATAACTAGTACTGTTAATGAATTTGACTACAATTTTCAGTGCCTACATTTACTCATTGGTTCTAAGAGTATAGGCTGAGTCTGCACTACTAGGTGCAGTGTAGGGGATTAATCTGAAAAACCCAGAACCTACAGCCAAAGCTAGTTACTGAGACTGAGTTCTGAGTTACCCAGAACCAGACCTACAGCCAAGCTAGTTACTGAGACTTTTAAGCAAAGATGAGGAAAAGATACTTTTAGGTAATTATTTGTGTTATGTTACAGTAGTCATCCAGAAAGAGTCAGATAATTCTACTAAATTAATTTGTCACTATTCAAAAAGTAGGTTTGGTCTTCTGTCAATTAGAGAAGTAAACAAAACTGGAGTGAAGAGATTATTTTCACTATTAATTCTGAGTTGAGTTTTCAATAGCTGAGAATCTTGTGCAGCTGATCATAGTAAAATAACTGTTAGGAAAAATATTTGTTTATAAACAACACAATTAAAAAACTTAAGATAAAAGACTAGGTTTAACTGACATTCCCCTTGTTTGAGGATTTTTCACCTGTTCCCATGGTTACGTACCATGCATTTTAGTATACAACTTCATTAGTATATATGTATTTTTTTGTATGCAGCCTTACAATTAATATTCTGATAGATCAGAAACATGGGAAATTTTCTCTCTAAACTGTTTGACAATATTTTTTTTTTTAAATAAAAATACAGTTTTCCAATTTTATATCCTTTTCTTACAGAAGCCACTGTTAAGTGCCAGATTAAAAACTGTAGTTCTTTATTATGGGGTGTGAATCAGTGTATTTGAAATATGCCCACATTGAAATAAAACTTGTAGTTACAGCCAAAGACATTTGTCTGTTCATATATTTATATCAGAAAAGCAAGCTATAGGTAAGGTGAAGTTCTCAACCTTTTAGATAGTGTACTTCAGGTTCTGCAGAGGTATGAAGTTTCATGTTAGTGAAATTGGTGTAAAATGACCCATTTATCACATCTTCAGATAATGTACTGTTGAAGAACACCATAGAAGAGTTTACATTTGGAGCTGAATGTTTTCCAGTTTAGTATTTTGATGTGCTTAACGGGAGGAGTTTCTTAGTCCAGAATCTAAGTAAGATGCCAGTAAGCTGATAGATGACATTCACACTTTCAGAATCCATCTTCAGAAGCATGTTTGCCACATCCCTTTCTTGGTGCTGCCATGCTGCTTTGATGGTTGTTTTCAAAGCTTCAGGTTTTGTAGAATCTTCCATTTTCATATGAACA